ATTGTAATTTCTTCCATTCCATCAAATCCTTTTGAACTTTTTTCCATAACTTATCATAATTATTCATATACAATTTAGCATTAGAAGCAGTAATATCAACACCCAAGTATTTCACTTTTTTAACTATTTCAAAACCAGTTACATTACTTAAGATTTCTATATCTTTCATAAACATATTCTTAACTAATATTTTAGTCTTGTTATTATTTACTTTAAATCCAGACACATTTCCATAATGTATCAATGTCTGTATCAAAGTTCTTGCCGAGTCGGTTGGATCCGTCAAAGTGAAAACCAAATCATCAGCAAATGCTCTAAGTTTATAAACGTTGTTGCCCAAAGTTATTCCTTTTATAAATGAAGACTCCCGAATCTTGATTAATAAAATCTCCAAAGTCAAAATAAATAATAACGGGGATAATGGACAGCCTTGCCTTGTTCCTTTTTCAATTTTAATTGAGTCTGTCAAACCCCCGTTAACAATCACTTGGGCAAACTGTAGTTGGTAAATGGCCTTTAATGCTGAAGAAAATCTATCTCCAAAGTTCATTCTATCCACCAACCGTAGCAAAAATTGCCAGTCCAATTTATCAAAAGCCTTTTCAGCATCCAGAAAGATAAGGGCCGCCGGGATTTGATTGTTTTTGTCCAAATATTCCAACACATTCACAATTTGTCTAACATTATTCTTCATATATCTTCCATTTATAAATCCAGACTGGTCCATATGAATAATCTGTTTAATTACTTGCATTAGTCTATTGGCTAATATTTTTGCAAAGATCTTATAATCTGTATTCAATAGTGATATTGGTCTGTAATTTTTAGGCTGGGTCATATCTTGGTCCTCCTTAGGTATATTTCTCCTTTTCCTATAACATTTTTGGTATCCATGGTGCACCATGGTGGCGCAGTGGTTAGAATGCAGTACTGCAGGCTATTTCTGTTGACTGCTGGCTGCCCGCAGTTCGACAGTTCAAGTCTTATGGCTCAAGGTTGACTCAGCCTTCCATCCTTCTGAGGTTGGTAAAATAAGGACCCAGATTGCTGGGGGCAATACGCTGACTCTGTAAAACCACTTAGGGCTATAAAGCACTGTGAAGCAGTATATAAGTCTAAGTGCTATTGCTATCACGTGGCTATAATTTTTTTATATTAATTTAACTTTAATTATTATGTAAAATTCAGTTTATTTATTTCTTTTTCACACTTTTCTTTGTCCCCCACCCCTTTCACTCTTCCAGAGAAAAAGAGGTATCGAGAATCCTACATCAGTGATACTTTGGAGATAGATTTCGATCCATCAGATAAGCATTCACATGACAGTGGAAGCAGCAGAGGAAGTGAGAGTAACAACCGACTGTCTCGACAGTCCACTGACAGCCATGGCAGTTCACACACCTCTGGCATTGAGGCCGACTCGAGACAACACCTATCCATGGAGATGTCTGTGGACGAACCCTTTGGGCTGGATCCAGTTCATCAGAAGGAGCAGTCCTGCAGTTCCAACCTCAGTTATAGTAGCTCTGGAATTGATAGCGGCAGCAAAGAGAAAGCCGAAAATGACTTGCACGATGATGGTAAGTTGTGAAAGGACAGAATCACTAGTAGCAATTTTGTCTCCA